GCCTTTTTCCCTATCCTTGAAAGACTCTCTGAGGTCTCCAAGTTTTATTTTATTATCCGGCCTATAAAACTGCAGAAATCACACGTTATCCAGTGCTCCTGTTGCCTGTTAATCGTTCTGCCATGCATTAGCTCAGACACTCACCGCTCACTCAGCCCTCCCTCCCTTTACAAGACAGCGAACAAACCAGAACAGCCGAAAATCGCGTCAACCTACCACTCAGGTCACTATTTGTGATACGCAGCGTTGCGTTCTCCGACTGCAAGGAGCGGTTCTTCTCCAGCAGCAGCACCTCCAGCGGTTTAGATGCATCCTGAGGAAAATCAAAGTGGGAGGTTGGTTTCTAAAAGCATTAAGAGTCTCACTCAGGCACTAAAAAGGATTTCAGAAGACGAAAACAAGCGCTGATCTCTGCTGCGAACGCAGCCGGGGAATTCACCGTGCATGTATTTGCAGGTATCACTCAGTGCTCCTACGTGAGCCAGAGAGGAGATTCACTGTTTAATTTCCATTGTAAATCATTCATCAACCCTGCATTATTTTGAAATGTGTACCGGAATATTTTCTCAATCCCACTTGTTTTAAAATGGTACTGGCATTTAAAAGCTGCAGACTTCGTTTAATCTGACTGAAACAGGAGTTAAGATTATATTATATTACTTCTTCTAGGTCAACTGACCCAAGTTAAGCATTTCTCAGAAACGCTGCATTTCAGCATAAACAGTTTGTTCAAAAATAAAAGTCACAGAAACCTGCCGTTTACCTCCCAATAAATATCTAACCCTTCCTTGATCATTAAAAAACATATTGAAAATTAATGCCACTATATTGATAGTCGGTTCAGATTTCAGAAGCAGGAATTTAATTCATGACCTTTAAACTTAAATAAGATTAATTTGCTGGAATAGCAGCAGAGCCTTCTGCTTTCTCAGTACTCAAAGGTTTGTTTTCTTTTGTGAACGTTATTTTCAAGGCTAACAAAGACTTAAAAATGCTAAAATCCTTGCTCAGCGTACTGTCTGTACGAGAAACATGCAAATCTCAGCGTAGCTGTACACCGACCCTAGTATCTTTACAAGACTCGACTTCACACCACTCCAGCAGAGATGAAACGTCACTCTCTGTCCTTGGCCACTTAAAAGAAATTAACAGGCAAAAAATGTTCAGTTCAGCTTTTTACAGAAGAAAACATCAGGAAAACAATGATCGACCCATCTGTCTCAACATCAACAGGAAATTGCCCATGCCGACACCAACAAATTGCAAGACAAAATTTTTGTTAATTAACTGAACTGCTGAAGTAAGTAAGAAAACAAAAGTAGGTTCAGTACCTGCGCACCAGAGCTTTCAGATGGTGCAAACTCCATGGATTTCAATATACTGCGGGAGGGAGAAAAAGAATTATTTTCTACTTCTTCTTTTGATAACAACCCCACTAATGAGCATTAACATCATCATTTCCTACTCTCCAGCACCACCACAAGTGATAACAACTTCCCTCGCAGTCACACAGCCTCATAATGAATACAGAATAACTATTCAAACTAGTTATTGGGTAAGAAAATTTTCTCGAGCGTCATCTAAATCATTCCATATGCAATCCCACTAGGCCAGTTTAAAGCGTAAATTTAAAGGTTAATAAGGATATAACATTTTAAGCTGTCAGAAGCGATATAAATATATCTGTGAAGCTTGAAGGGAATGAAAAAAGTTGTAGCAAAGCAGCAAACCCGGGGAATCACCACCACAGTCGCAGTACTTCATATAATATACACCAGCTCACATATCACAGCAAATATGCACAAATAATCCTCCCGACCAAGATACTACAGGCTAAAAGGCAGTTTTTCATTTTAATAACCTCCTAGTTCTATAGCAAAGGGAAGACACAATGGCACAATATTTCTTAAGAAATATGAAAGATCCAAATATTTATAAGTACATTAAGAGAAGAATCTGATAGTCTCATTGTCAATGTTTTCTATAAATAGTGAGCGGTCAAAGGACGTCTCCCTTCAAAGCCTTTCAGTTGGAGCTGTGTTGTCTGGAAGAGGCCAATCTTGCAGGAATACAAACTTACTACTCTGCTTTGTCTGATGAATTTTTTTAAACAGGCCTGCTGCAGGCAGGGCGTCAAGTTCCTAAGACTGAAGCAGTAAATTATTTGAGCTTCTTATCGTATAAAGGCGACCGATTTGTTGGAGAAAAATACATATACAGACAGCGTTTATGCAGCCTTTTTCATACATAAAGCATCAGGAACTTCGTGAGACTGGGAGAATATGTTCGACCGTGTATTAAATGTGGAAACTGAGTCAAAAAAGGCAGAAGGCCAGTCTTAAGATGCGGGGACTCATTGTGGATGCCACGAGCAGTCAGACAGGCACCCAGCACTCACGAACTGCCGCAGACCACGTGGCGTCCAGCTCCTCTACAAATCTGTCCGCGCATTAATCCAGAATTAGACGTCCATGAAGTGGCACTCAGTGGCCTCAGTGACTCATTCGAGATCACACACAGTCATAGCAAATCCAAGAAGAAACAAAGTCATTCTGAGACAGGAACCTCACGGAGTTTGCATCTGTGCATACTCATCGCATACAGTGTTAATTCTGACAGGCACTCCTATGAATACAATAATTAACAGAATCACAAAATTGTGGCTGTTAGGTCACATGGCACCACTGGATGACACCTCCTGCCAGCAGAAATCGCTGTACACTACAGTCATCATCCAGTACACAAGGACGTAAAGTAACGCTGTGAAGAGACTGCTTTACGGGGGCACAACAGCTCACCCACCGCCAGAAGTGCCTCTTTTCTGCTCCGAACAGAGTTGTGCCAGTCAAGGAGGGGCTGTGCACGAATGGCGGGAGTTCTTAGAGATCCTGACATTACACTGACATCACAGGCATGTTCAGTCAGGTTGCTAATCACGGCTGGAAGCAAGTGTTTCTTGGGACACCTCTTCAGAGGCACAGCTCTGCCTACCAGGAGCCCAGGGTGCTGGGGGACATAAATATATAGAGACCCAATCAGGACAACCCCGTCACTAGTAGGTGACTTGGATTCTGCAGGGTAGGGCCCCTGAAAGGACACAAGTAGTTATGGATGTCCTCACGATAGTCAAAAAAGGAGAGCCATCTGAATTTAAAAAACCCACTATGTAACAGCCAATTACCCCGTGGCAAACTTCCCACGGCAAGTCCCAGGCGCGTCTCCCACTCCGGTTCAGCTCAGCAGTACACCTGCCACGCCGGCATCCCCGCAGTCCCCACTTACCACGCTTCCGTCTGCCATGCGGAGCAGTCCTGGAGCACACCGCCCGGGTTCCTTCCGGAGGAGAGCGAGCCAACGGAAGCCACCCGCTCCCCAAGGAGCGCAGCGCCGTGCTCGCACCTCTGCCACGCTGCCTACAGCGCGGCCTGACACCCGCAGGCAAAGCCTGCAGGAATTTACTGCGTGTATCGGGCTCTGCGCTGAAAGTCTGGGTTGGAAACCCTGGGCCCGTTGTGCCCTCCACGTGCTAAGGCTGCCCTACCCTCTTGGTTCCAAGCCGGCACCTTCAGAAGGGATCCTGAACCTTGTGGAAGCTGCATTTTTCAATGGTCTTGGAGCAGGTATGCGTATTCAAACCTTGGCTGGAAAATCACTGACCTCTGCCTATTTAAAGTGGATTCTTTGCTACCTGAAATAGCCTTCTGGCAATTTCACAGGTAATTTCCTATATACTCCCCCAAAATACACTAAAACCTCAGGTTGATGGTATCTCAGATTGCCCTTGGAGGAATAGTCACTACAGCAGGTTCGTTTTTGCAAAAAATGTAAAAGTTAAACATGTCAAAAATGACTCTCCAGATGTGTCACAAAGGAGACATTCTCCTCAGGAATATGAGGAAGCACAATGTGTCCCCTTTGGATTCCAGGAATATCTTTGCCCGTGAGATCTCGTCTCAATCTGCTGCTCAAGATCAGTTATCTGCTTTTAAAGGAATGATCTCGTGACTTGAATCTGCACATCTAAGACGACTTGAAAGACCTTACTCTAAAGCCAAGTGTGCATTGGGACAGCTCGGCTTTCTGCTCGTATGATCCCAACTGCAAAGGCAGGAGGGTTAGCACTGTCGTTTTACTCGAGAGGGAACTGAAAGGACACACAGAGCTCTCAGATCTCAAAAAAAATGGGTTTAAAAGCCTTTTGGCAACAAAAGCCAGTGCAGAAAGCAAGGAGTCCTGCCACCCCAGATCTTGACGTGGACCCAAGGTTAGAAGCTGGTTGATACTGAGATTGCCTCAGCCTAGAATGCCTCTAACCTTCTTGGGAGGATTAAGGAGAATATATCAGTGCCAAAACAACCGAGAAGTTTATTCTCTTTCTTCCTTACTGATAAGGTTATCTATTTTCCTGGTGCGTATGTGTGTTCGGAGCAGTTCATTTCGGTCAGTGAGTCAGGGCACAAAGGCAGGCGTAGCGGGATTCAGTATGAGGGACACCACATTTACAGACTTCTCACAGTTTCACTTCAGACCAGACCGTCCCTCTCAGCTTATGCATGTTTAGATTTTGGCACATCTCTTGGACCCGACGGAGGGAGAGAGGGTGGCGTGAATGAGCTGCTGTGAGGATGCAGCACTGCAAACATCTGCAGCGCTCTCAGAGAGGGTGTTCACCCCCTGCACCATCCAGCGGGGTGTTGTACGGACCCCAGGACACCTACAAGCCAGCGGCTGTACCTCCAAAGCCACCTGCCCAGATGAGGAATGTTACCCAAAGGTTAGAGGATATAAAAGCTGTGACACCCAGGAGAAGCTGATTTAATTCACTGGCACTCAACAAGGACCACTTCCAGGAGGTTCTCCCGTTCTCCCATCTATTTCACTGCAGGCTCATCTTGGAATAACTGCCACAGGCAGAAGCACCATATGAACACGCCTGTGTCATGGCTTCTCCTGGACCTCTCATCTGCCTCTTCATGTAGGCCAGTGTTGTAAAAAACAAACACCCAAACAAAAAGGAATTACCACCAGGAATACAGGGATCTAAATGAGTTTCGTATGGGAAGTAAAGACATTAAACCAGGCAGGACTGAAAGCTCGCTTGCTGTTTCCATACATTCACGTTTCAGTAATTGATGCAGCAAAGTGGAAGGTTGTGGCTTTATTCCCACTCACGACTTCACACGTGAGGGCATAAACCGGCTGAAATCTGAAGTTTACCTAATTCAGAAGAGAATGTGGATATGTCTACCCATCTCACTAAAACGATTAAGCTTTTATGAGACCAGATAATACTCAGGTATAATGCCCAAAGAAGTGGCCAACTCACTTCACTTGACTGAAACTATATACCTACACCTGGCAGTGAGCCAGAACCGCAGCCAGCACGGCTCAAATACAATAGCACCAGGGGCTGGGCAGTCGCTGGGCTTGCAAAACCAAACCTGCTTTCCATATTCTCCAGGGATGTGTAAACAAAAGCACATGACTCCCAGCCTCATCTGAAATACCTCATTAAACAAGGTAACATTTTTTCAGCCTTCTTAAAATACACACAAAAATGCCAGAATGATGAAAGAAGAGATGGAGTTTCTTGCAGTTATTTAAACCTCGACACTAAACATATTTCTTGTCAAAAAAACTTCTCTCCTGAACCTGACAGCTTATCTTGTTATAGTTTAAAATGAGGCTCTTTTAAGTCTCTCTAAAAAAACCCCCTTGAAATAGGAAGAGGCTGTTTGTGGCTTTAGTTTAAACCCACAATATATTAGCAAAAAAATACAGCGAAAGAGGCACAGCATTAAAATGGTAAAGTGCTGAGCGCTGGCTGGCAAAGGCACAGGAAAGGTATTATGGCCAAAGGCCCCGCATTAAATTCTTTGTCCACAGCACATTCAGCTGTTGGCTGGGGGTTTTTAAAGAGCGGTCTACCAAAAAGGCCACCCATTTTCAAACTCTCTGTTCTTGGTGGATGATGGTTTTAGCACCTGTTTTTTCATGGACACTCGTATTGTTTGCTACTGTGATACTCTGCTGCAACAAAAAGGAGAGAGCACTTGCACTGGTTCTGGATGTAATTTCTGCCAATATTCCCGATTTCCCCGTCTTTGTGGTTTTGACTGAATTCTTTATTGTTCCAAGAACACAGATTTGTGGCTTCATTTAACAAGCATTGTTAAACTAGAGTTTGTGAAAAAATTATGTAAGCATTTAACACTTACTTTAATTCTTTCTTAACCTCTTCATAATCAGCCTGTCCTTTCAGTTTCTCTTCCAGTTGCTTTAAAAGAAAGAACATGGATTTAATTATTCAGATTTTTTTCCGCAGGCTTTCAAAATCATCTTTAAATTATTCCATATATACAGCAGCGCACAAGTGAGGGTTAATGACTCATACCTAATTTACATAGATTAGAAAACAAACTATAACCAATTCGACGTAAACACAATTATACCTCACTCTTCCTTTGTTTACAGCGTGCCAAGCATTACAGAATTCAGTAGGTCCCAATTTGGCTGTTTGCAATGTCGCTGTCATGTGTTCAATAAAGAGATCGGGGAAGAAGGTATTAAAAATGGGGCAGCGAAGATTTTTATGAACCCGATAAATTGAGTAAACAAGCGGGATGCTTTGGCACATACTGTATTCTTAATAGGACAGTTCTTGATAACCTTATCTACAGGAAAAAAAGACTGAAGAAGCTGTTGTTGACTGGAGCGCCTTAGGCTTGTAAGACTCCTACAACGCCTCATGCCCAAACAAAACAGCTGTACCAAGTCATTCTACAAGCATTACTCATTGCAATAACTAATATGATTACACACCGGAGATGAAGCATTGAGACCAACTCAGCAGGTCTTTTGTGCTCAGGTCTGCCTGACCTGGGGCTGTCTCAATGGCTTCTCTTCGGCGTGAAGATGCCACAAACGTTGAAACAAACCTCCTAAGACAATCCATAACGCAATGCCACACATTTGGACCTTACCCAAGAGCCCCTGCTCCCAACAACAGTGCTCATCACTACAGGATAAATGCTTCAGGAGGCCTAAAACATAGTGATACATAATTGATGCCGTTATGTTGCTTGCAGAAGCCCCATTAATTTCCCACTAATAATTTCTTTGCTTAGTGCAGGCACACCTGACCCAGACAAAGAAAGAACAGAACTTGCTGGCTTGCAACTTCCACGATAAGTTCGGGCTAGCTCTGCTTTACTTAATTTCTGTGTTAAAATTGGCACAGATTCCCAAAGGTCACAGAAAACAGAAACAACACAGGGGCATGCCCTCAAAGACAGAGCATCTACATTGAAAAGGAATGGAATATATGACATGAGAAATAGGGTTTTATGTCCCGGAGAGGCTGCCTGCAGCAGAGCATGAATTCACCCCCGCCCTGGCACTCCTCGTTGGAAGGCAGGGAAGGGCTGCTGTGAACCTGGATCGTTTTAGCAAACCTGTTTAAAACGCAGCCCCGTAAGTCCTGCACCAGCGCAGCTCTGGGTGGACGAACGGCAGGGCTGGGACAGACAGTTGGAACGGGGAACCTCTTGACCCTGCTGTCTTCCCAAGTAAGCCAGCGTGTAGATTCCGCCCCTGTCAGAGCCATCCAGTGGGTGCAAGAAGCACACCCAAACACTCTGTAATGCATCGGCGAGTCCATCAGCTGAGCCATCTTAATAATTTAAATGAGGCCTCTTCAGATGACAACAGCAGTCCGATGGGGCTTTGTTGGACTTCCAGCTATTCTGCCATCCCTAAAGGATGCCCTGTCATGCCCTTCCCAGCTTACACATTGCTGACATTTCTCCCTTGCCATCAGCACGCACATTAAAAAGCGGTGACAAAGTGGACACCCACGTTATCAATATACAGACCTCTTAAATTCCTCTTCCTGCTTTTTGATCCCATAATCCACAATCCTTAGTCACTGCTGACAAGGGGCATCTCCCAGCAGCAATACAGGGGCCCTGCTCTGGCAGCTGCTCAATGAGCAACTCTTAATGGATCACCAGCACCGGCTGTGGCAGGAAGGCAGAGAGTTGTTAAGTGTGGAATTTGCACTCCCTGGGACACGGATGAAATGAGCAGCCTCCTAAAAGGTCTTGTGTCCTAGCATCCTTAGCCATCAGTAACTTGCACAGTCATCCGCCTTGTGTTAAAAAGGGGAGGGAAAAAAGTCTATTTAACCTAAAACGATTTTTTTCACCTGGAAAAATACAGGATAGGAAGTTTTAGTCATTTCTTCTGTCATGTCCTGCCTTATCAAATTCCAGTTACCAAGTGGCAGGGCTGGGAGTACCAATTTAGCTTTCTACAGCAGGCACAGTGCTACAGGTGCTTTGGCCCTGCTAAAAAACCCCTATGCTGATATAGCTAGGAAAATCCTGGCCGATGTGACTAGGGAAATGCTACACATACTAAAGATGTTGGAGGTTTTCCTAACCTCCAATGTGTTGAAACCTCATGATACAAACACACTATGTAATCCCAGGGCCCAAGGTATCACTTCAGTTCTCCACGTTTCAAGAAGGGCCAGCCACCACGTGCCACACGGCCAAGCAGCTTGTCAAGCTACAGCTCAAGCCTGAGAAAAACGTAGTTACTAGAACAAGGACTCCAGCCAGACTTTTTAATGGACCAGATCAGGCTCAGGAAGACTGAAGAGGGATCTTTAAATTAAACCAGTGAGCCAGACAGCCTCGGCACTGGTGACAGAGCTTCCAAGCTCGATGCAGGCCATGGGAGGACCCCACACGACACCTCTGCGCTCTCCTTGGGCCTGTCACTCCGCCAGCCGCTTCTAGCTGCGATTTGCTGCTCTGCAGCTTAAAGCAAAGTTACAAATTCCCCTCTTCCTTAACTCTGACTGGTGACAATTTTGGGTCTACAGCAGATTAGCTTTTACAGCAGGGATAACTGGCTGCTTACTCCAGACCTCAGTATAAAATGTAGTGGAATAATCAAAACAAACACTATCCTGGATTAATGTTAGTTACTTATGCAAGGATATGCGAAGAAAAAAGCCTTTTGTAGAAACAGATATAACATACAGAAAAGATAATGATCCCCATTTTAATGCAATCTACATTAAATGTAATTCTGCACAGGGATATACTATGCCCCGAAAGTACCTCTTGAAATTTTAGGTACAATACACAGTTTGGGGGAAAAAAAATGATGTTGACAGAATGAAGCTGTTTTGGACTCTCAGGTACCTGTATGCTGTTACAGCAGTATGGCAACCAGCAATATTTTACTTTGAATTGTATAAAAAACACATACATCCGTCATTCCCAAGTACCTAATATAGAGATTGTTGCCATGGAAAATCTGCACCTAAATGTGTACTTTGCTAAACAATATAAACAACTGAGAATGCAAGGCCTGCAGACCATTTAGGCACTTGGCATCTTCCCAGTCAATGACTCTTTTAAAATGTATTAGTATGGTAATTGTCTCAAAGAACCCTGTAAAATGCACAGAACATGGTATAACAAAGGTTCAAGCTGTGAGACAATCTGGAGGAACTAATATCTTGCACTAAATATCAACCTGGTTAATTCAGACAAAATATATTCCAACAGTCCTCCAACACACAAAAATGCAGGGAGCCAGAGGACAGGAGGAATGGACTGGTGGCACTTTTGCACACCGAATTTGCAAATATTCCATATTAGGGAATTGTCTTGCATTTGTTGTATGAACGACCCCATGTTAGAGCATGCATAGACTGGGTCTCCTCTTCTTAAAAACCCCTAAATCAGCACTGTGTTACTAAGGTGTCTTAGGTAAAACAGCATGGGCTGTATTAAGGGGCTTAAAACATTTAAAAACCCCCACCAGGCTAATGCTGTAGTTTAGTTTAGGGTGATACACTAAAAGCTTTGCTAACTAGCGCTGCTGTATTTTAACTGCATAGCAGGCAAGCTCTAACTCCCAGCAGCAGAGGGTTAACACAATTATAGTTAGGAAAGTCTTGTTACTAGAGGACATGTTTTGATTATTAGATCAGATGAAGATAAAGAAGCAATAATTTTGGAAGTATTTCTGTATTGTTTCATTAAGTCATAGGCTATTAAAGAATTCCCCCAAGATATGGTCTGAGAACATTGCTTTAATTTGTGAAACTGTGATTCATTTTTTGTGGAGGCAACCATTACAATCTCTGTTATTTTAGCAGCAGTTCCTCTGTAATCAAACATGAGATCAACACATCACCACTGAGACTCGGGTTTTTGTACAACAGATCTCAGGCGCAGGTTTGCCCAGCACTTTAGGGTAAAAAGTATGTGTTTTGAAATATTTTTATAGTGCGACAAATGAAGTTAAAGAGGGTTGAAATGATTAAAACTTTATCAATAGAGTCACTGCATCAGACACTATCAACAGGAACCGAAATACAGAGCATTAGCCGCGCAAGCCTATGAGAAAATGGAAGGAGATTACTGAAATGAAAATCAAAGACTTGCTCTGTCATTTCTATGATCCTATTCCCTTTGAAGTTAATGGCTAAACTAATACTGACCTCACCAGGAACACGCTTTATTCCAAGAAAATCTGTCAAGTGCAAGGACTCAAGATATTTTCTATCAGGCTTTAGGAAAAAATAAAAAACCCCTCGTTACATGGGTGCAGCCAGCCAAATGTGTCTCTCGAAACCAGGCCAGCTCCTTCCTCCCTCGTGAAGAGTGGTGCCCACACGGTGACAGATGGGCAGAGACCGAGCCCATCAATATAGGAACCGAATGGGTTTCCTTCGCCCTACTGAATTCCCATAAAAATTCTGCAAGGCTGCCTTAAAACATGCAGAAAACATACTAAATGCACACTTCGGCTTTCATCCCTAACAGGTATTTGCCCACATAAATTATGCTACACCAGAACAAAACTAGTAACCACTAAAAAATGCCAGGACTAGAACATTTTGTAAGAATTGCAATTGAGCATTAAATCACTCTGCTAGAGGAAAGCTACCCACGCCACAGTCAGAGCTAAGTGGGTACTATCAGCCTCCTGCTTTCAAAAAACTCTCAGGCTATAAAACCTGCAAAACTCTGAAGTCTTTAATGGAATAGATAAATTTATCTTGTTTACACTCTGAAGCTCATAGATGGTAGAACAATGAAAGAGACAGGAGTTACAGGAAACTGATTCATAACACGTCAGGAAACATTTCTCATGCTTACTGATAGATCAAAACTGTGTGGGCTAGCGCACAAAGAAAGTAAAGCTGCTGAAGCAAAAGGTAAAAGGGTCACTCACACAACTGTTAGATGTCTCCCCTGGCTTTAGTGCAGTGCTACTGGTATGCAAACGAGCACAGGACCGGACCGCTAATTACAAATGGGAATTACTGTGCAGCAAATAGACAGTTTAAAAATCTGAATTAAATGGTTATTAAGGCTAAAAAGCCGCCTCTCTGCCTCTCAATTTCACTTGTTTTTATGCTCTGATACACTTCCCCTTTCCAGTGGGGAGAACTGGAGGGGGGTAGCAGGTAAATTCAAAGATAGACCGTAGCACAATCAAGATTCCTGGCCAATCTGTGATACCAACCAATGGAATGGGAACTGAACGTTTTAAAACCTGAGAAGGATTTTCTGTGCCTTTGCAGTTCAGCTGTTGCCCTACATATCCATGGTAAATTTATGTTGGGGGGTTTAATTCTAAAGGCAGACACGTTCTGCAAACCCAAATTTCAAAACAGTGAGAGCGAGGTAAATTAAATTTCAACAAAATTGGGATCACTTAGAACAAAACGTCACAGAAACTGGAATTCCACAGCACCCTGCAGAAGTCAGTGCCTTTCACGGCGCTTCTCCGCACCACAGAAAACGTCCATCAGGGAGACCCAATACTGGTATGTCAGTTCTACCCTTGGAAAGCTGCTGAGCAGCGAACCGAGCCTTACTTTAAGCGTGCTGTTCTTGGCGGTGAGCTGCTGCTCCAGCTGTGAGATTTGGCTGCTGGAGTTCTCCCGCAGCTTGGTGAGGCTGCCCTGGAGTCTCTGGACATCTTCTACCAGCTGGGCGATCTCCCGCTCCTTCGCAGCCAGTTCTACTTCCAGGCTGGACCGTGTTAGCACCTCGATGGCCTGCTCCTAGTACAAAAAGAAGTATTAGAGTACATACATGAAAAAAGGCAACAAGCTTGAATTGAGGGCAGTTAGGGATGGCTCAAGCATTGCGCTGGGTGGCAAGAGAGCCAGAAATAACCTCGAAATCTGGGACTCTTGTGACTGACTGCGTGAAGCTCAAAGATGAAACCTTTTTGCTCCCCAGGACAACTCTTTGGTAAAGTAGGGATAATGGAGAGAATAAATTTCCCTGTTTCCTAAGTGTACTGGAAAGACGCAGCCGTGAAAGTCAAGGGATTCTATTTAAATCTATTTATTATTAATAGTCCAACTGCTTTGACAACTATGAAAATCTGTGCTTACAAAATACTAATCAGATGAAATATTCTGAAGTAATGGAGCAGAATTTCTTAATCAGGAACGGCAGAGTCATGCGCCTTTGGCTCTCCCTATGCATGCCTCACGTTCCAGGCAAAATTGTCAAAAATTGCCCCAAAGTGCTACTTCCAATGAACTTGCTCCTTGCATGAAAATTGTTCGCTGTTAACATCACTGCTAGCAACTCAAGCCTCTGCTCTGTGGGGATGAAGATAGATGTGACAGCTGTAAAGACAAGGCCAGCCTCCCTATGGTCTCCACTTTCAGAAATTCCCTTTCCTGAACCAGGATCTTTCTCCTTCCAGTTTCCCACGGCTGCAAAATCTGTCCTCGAGCCTGACACTTCCTCCCTAGAATGATTTTCCAGGAGGACAAGAGTTAAGAGAGGACAGAGAGGTTAATAAGGTAGGATCTATTCTGAAAAGATAACACTGACTAATTGTACAGCCCATTATTTCTCCTTTTGTGTTAAGAGCTACAGCTATAATGCATCGGCGAATCCCTGTTCCATGAAGAGCAGAAGGAAATCCTTGTGCAGACCCGGGCAGCACAAGGCAGCCCAATGATGAACGCACGTTCCATTAAAAAGCCTAAACCGCATCTTACAAAAGTTAATGTCTGTTCCTCAGAACACACCAGTGAAGTAGGGAAGAATCTATTTACCAAGAGAGAGGCAATGATCGCAAGCATTATACCACAGCTCCTACAGTGAGAGAGCTGAAAATTCAACCCACCAATGCTGTCACCCAAGCACTTTCTTTACAATTCAAGATGACATTGCAGCAGATTGAAATACACTCCATACCCTCTTTTCTGGAAAATACAGGCACAACAAAATACCTTTTCCATATCCTCCAAACACTTAGCTTGATTCTCAGTGACTGCACACCATTGTGTCTCATAGAAAGCTACATGTACGAGCAGCAGTTAACAACGCTCCCCTATTACACTGAATTATACTTTTAACTTGAAAAAACCTCTAATTTGCTTGCATGAAACATCACAAGTTGTATAATCATCTGCTGCTTGTGCCTATTGAGACTAGAACGTAGAGTCTGAAATAAGATAGATAATGATCATTTTCATCCTGCAGTAGTTGTCATATTAAATATAAATGAAGTGCAGAAGTACTATTAAATACAAGAAAGACCTAATGTTAAAATAATGATAAGACTAGGACACGAGATAGGAAGAGGCAGGTAATTCAGAGTTACAAGTGATATTCAGGCTTTTTATTTTTTTTATTTTTTGTTTTGCAGCCTGCTTGCCTATCTTTTGACTCCTCTGCGAAAATACTGGGTCGTATGAAGAGACGACCAAACAGATCTGGAGGACTTAGAGTTTGTTAGTCATTCTGTGCAGATGTATTTTAAAGGCAACCAGGTGTATCTCTGATATCAGTGTCAAGCATGCGTATGGCTCACGAGAAAAAAGGCAACGTAAGGAGCATGATTTCTTTTGTTTGTTAAGTCTGCTGCTTAGAAGGAGGCTAAATTTCACTTAATTGCATATTTATATTTAAACACTCCTATTTCTCCTTTGGCAAACAGAAACCAAACTAATCTGCCTGCTCACCTGTCCTACCTGTGAACCCAGGACCAGCCAGAGTCGTGTAATAGCAGTCTGTGCCCGCAAGGTCCGGTCGGCAGAGCCAGTGCTACCAACCTCCCCAGACAGCCGTGTTAGCTTCACTTGGAAACACACAGAGAAGGCTGCAACCAGCCAAGCCTTTAGGAGTACAGGGAATCTTCTCAATTTTCCAAGCTGCTTTTACTGGATTTAATTACACTGAGGTGCAATTCTCAGTTTAGCTGTATTCAGTGTGAATGGAATGATACCAAATTCAGTTCTAGTCCCTCTGACAGCCCACACACTAAGAACAAGACCCAGAAATGGGCAGGCAGCAGGTCCCTGCTACACAACCAACTCTGGGCACGGCTGGTCCCCTCAGCCTGACACTCCATGGCTCCCTCTGCTCTCCTGGCAGGCACACAGTGATGGCCCACCAAGGCACGCTTTGCTATCCCGCACTGCTGCCTTCAGTTTCCCTCTGCTGACACTCCTACCAACGTGAAATACTCTCCCGGAGCTGCTGCTGCCCACCTGGATCGGCAGCCGCGGAGAGCTATGGGTCCCCACGGTCCCCACGGAGCAGCGACCCTTGTCCCTCCCCTGCTCTCCTGCAGCCACCAGCCCCCTCAGAAGTTTAACCAAACTGCAATCCCGAAGGAACACAATTCCCTTTCAGTTAAAATATTACTCCAAACAGATATTTTTATAGCTGCGAGCATAAATTGAAAGAGCTGTGCTGCCGCAGGGATGTCAGAAACCTGTAAGAGTCAGTAAATATTTTCTCTCACCACATCAGGTGCCTTCTGGATCTGCGTAGCAAGTTGCAGAGATTTGTTAGCTGACGAGAGCTGCTCCCTTAAGGTCTCTGCCTCTCTCTGAGCCACCTCTGCCCTCTGAAGGAAATGAAAAGGGGTGAAAAGAGAAAGTACATTCAGTTTAACAACTGACAATTATTACAAGAACATTCATCAATTCATGCCTGACTGAATATAATTGATTTTCCTAAACACTCAACCTAATAAATGTTAGAAAAAAACATAGAATGTGATGGATTTTTATTTTAAACAGTACAAGGAAGAAATAATTGAGCGATTATGACAGTAATTTAACGCTAGGAGCAAGGAATCCCCTGCTGATACCAATGCTGCGGCCCACTGAATTTCCCAGACTGAATAAATACAAGTGGAAATGGAGTCTTTTTATTCAATTTCTTTCTATTCTCATAGACCAAGCAGATTTTATTGCAAGGTTCCTCATGGGAATAATTCTCACGGGTAAATGCTGAATTAAAAGATATTCTGACCATTCTCTCTAACACACATGCAATGTTGTGGGCTGTCTTTCTTCAGTAATTATTTCCCAAAACATGAATTGGTAGATGCTGTTCTTTCAGCAGGTCTATTTATTCAACAATATTTAACCCTAAACTGACAATTTTGCACAGATCAGTTACCAACTGCTGGGGATTTACGCAATATCTGATAAGGCTGTGAGCTGGCTACCAGACAAAATTCCCTTACAAGTACTGAGTAATAATAGACAGGAGAAAGGCAGAATTATGAGGAAGGGTTGTCTGCACAAGGGTTTGGGTAGAGACAGATGGATCAGCAACTTCAGGCAATAAATAGCAAAGTCCTTTCCATGACTGTGTACAAGCTTCTGTTAAGAAAGCGGAACAAAACCTGGCTGT